TAAAGCCTGAAAAGCAACTGGGACAGAAGACTGGGCACACAGGAGGGACGAACCAAGGCCCAGAGCAGGCGTGCTACTTCTTTAAATGTAAGTCATCATGCTATGAATAGAAACATAGTAGATCCTGTTTCCTGGTTTTAAGAGATAGGTATTACCTATGTAAGGATAGTATTTTGAAAAACAAAACAGGATCATATGAATGAAGATATTATTTTTAAGGATTTGACAAAACTAAGGAAATTCTACTTCTGGTGACAACACTGCGTTTTTAACTGCATGTAACAGAAAAGACAATATTGTAAGACCAGAGGCAATGGGAACAAACTGACACACAGGAGGTTTGCAGAACATTACAAAATGTTTTTTCATTGTGAGGGTAACCAAGCACTGGCACAGCTTGCCCAGAGAGGTTGTGGACTCTCCATCCTTGGAGACATTCAAAAAACCATCTGGACACGGTCCTGGGCAACTCGCTCCAGGTGACCCTGCTCGAGCAGGGAGCTGGATCATATGATCTCCAGAGGCCCCTCCAAACCTCAGCCCTTCTGCGATTCTATGAGTGCATAGCAACAGGTACTGCAGAAATGTCTCCAGCAGATAAACTGACATCAGCCTAGATTTAGCTGTCAGATATATACAGACAGGCACAGCAATATACAGGTATGCCAATATCTCCTTTCTTCCTGAGAGGGAAATATTGTTCAGAAGGGACATGACCTTGGATTCTTGACATCACTGACTCTAGGACATTTTGCATTTAACTTTTTTACATGCTAGTAGATTTGATGCATTACTAGCCTATTGACCAAGGTGAAAACTAAAAAGGACTTGCCACTTTCATTCCCACCATCTAAGGAAAAATACTTATGCCAGGCTACATATAAAAGATCTATGGAGATTTCCTTTTATAGGATGAATCTTGTAATTTTATACCTTTTTAATCCAAGGTATTAAAATAAATAATGACATGAGGTGGCAGAAAGGACTTCAGGTTTGAAGTGTTATAGCGAGAGAATTCTTAAGAAGCAGACAAGTGTCTTCAGAATACAGCTGAGTGAGTCAGCAAACCTCCTATTTTCATTTGTGCATTTGTACACAAACTTCGCAAAACCCGAAGTAAGTGGCAAAGAAAACTCACAGAGCTCCCAATGCAAGTAGGTACCTTACAGGAAGCAAAAGCTGCCCACTGCTTCCAAAGGCATCTCTCAAGCCTTGTTTGCTCGGGGAAAACTCCAGCTAAGCTTGATGAGGAATGCATTTGCCTAGATTTTTATTTCATATTACTAAGCAGTTTTAAAATAGAAGTTCATACTAAGTATAATTAGAAAAAGCCTCCTTTTGGAAAAAAAATATATCTCAGAGTGGCAATGAAAGAAAGCAAACCCAGAACCAATGGCCATCGTTTTTGTGTCACTCCTTCTGCTTGCAGGAATTTTAGGATACAGTGAAATTACGCTGGCTATGATTTGATGGGGGAAAATATTTTGGGAAGCAATGACTCCCCTCCAACAGAAACCCACCTAGTCCTAGGCATTAGCTGAGTTCTCCAGAAGTGAGTAGGAGCGTGCACGCAGAGCACCGACAGCCTGACTGGTGGGCTGTCAGGTCACATGTGTCCTTGGAGTGCACACTGCTGGTGGCCATCAGGCCCATCAGAAAGGGGACACGCAGCCACCAACTGCCAGTATCTCAGGCCACCGCGCACAGCAGCAGTCAGACCTTATACAACGCGGTATCCTGGAAGTGATGTGGAAAATTCTTATCTGTCAAATCCCCCCCCGAAACATACATATTTGGACATCTCTACACATATTATTCCAGAAGGGCCATTCATATTATGCATAGATGCATCAAATAAGTACATGAACAAAAAAGAGATCTGTTAGGATACAGATGTGTTTTTCCATGAAAGGAAAGGGTTTGCCTTCTTCAGATTCCAATACCAGTGTTCTCCCTATGCAACGATGTCTTGGTGCAGAAAAGCGAGATGAATGACCTTCCATATGTGCCTGAAACAGCCTCTTCCAAAATGAGCTCTGCTTTGTATCCAAGCTGTCAATCTCTTCTTCAGAATGAGCATATACATCAAAGTCAAGATCCAAGGACATAATCTATCCCAGGCTAAATTTTTGTGTTGAAAATACCCTTCCTCATACCTCAGATCAGTATCCTGCTTATTGGTAAGCTTTCATTCGGACTTGTTGATGTATTTGTCACCAATATGCTCCTTTTTTGACTTGTTATTGTCTTGGTTCTCATAATAATTGCCACAGACCAAACATTGTATTAAGTTGTAAAAAAACCAAGTTTACTTTGCAGATGGGTAACACATGGCAAGACTTTGGTCCGAAGTATTTTATCTTGACATAGAAAAATTACATGCAAATATAAGTATGTCACTTTTTTCTTTGTTGTTAGTATTTGGCTTTAGAAGGAACCTCTGCAACTAAAACAGTGCTAAAAATGTCCTACAGATTAAGATTTATTATGTGCATGTGTTGATTTTATGTGTATGTTATCAATGAGAAACTATTTTCTCTGAAATAATGAAAACTTTCAGCCTCTCTCAGCTATTAATCCTTCAAGCTACGTGCTGCTGCTTTCTTTTTGTGTTTGAAATTTTTGAAAGCGGTCTAGAGGATTCAGACACATATCATCTGTTAATTCTAGTGGCAGACATTTATCTAAATCCTCTAGACAATTTTTTATTTTTTAAAATTATTCAAGCTTCCTTTTATCTGCTTACTTTCCATTCATAACGGCATTGGTTAAGCACTGCCTGGGTTAAAAGTGTTACCTCTCAGTCACCGAAGAGGATTAAACAGGTTTACACCGGAGGAACCAAAAGGGTGAAACAGCTAGGAAAGAACTATGCAGGTAATCAACTGCACTGTATATTTTTCCAGAAGAGACTGTGTTTTCGCAAGTGTGTGAGCATCCCTGGTGCACTGGCTGCCTCATATATTCTGGGAATCTTCTGGCAATAAAATGATGCTAACTGGAAAAAAAACTCCACAATTACTATTGCTGTTAATATTAACAGCACCATTATTTATTTTAATGCAGTTTGTGCCTTTTCTCTCTTTCAGTCCATCATAAAGTTCTTCTTGAAATATGTTAAGTTAAAAAAAAAAACAAACCTCTTTTCTCATTTATTATACAATTACAGTTTCTTGGAGGAAGTAAAATAAATGAAAATCTCCCTTAGGAATTACCTCTTCTTTTAAGTTTTGTATCTTCTATTTCAGTCATTTTATATCCAGAAGACTGCAGCGGTGGAAAAGAGAGGTCAAAAGGTGGAAACATCAATGCTTATGTAATCCCCAAAGAGGATTATTCCCCTCACAAAAAAAGGCTAGTATGACATGTGAAATTAAGGATATTCATTCCATGTCTGCACATCACTTGTAATGGAATTGGTGAATCTTTAGAAAAATAGAGCAACACAAGAACATCTGAGCTCCTCCCATCGTATATAGCATAGATAGTATTAAAGTTCAGATCAGTTTTTCGAACCCGGCATGCACCAAAGAGCTGTGCGCAGTCTTCCTTCCTCTCCCTGTGCACTTCTGCCAGCTAAAGGATGACAGGTATACAGATTTATTAGAACCAGGAGAAGGGGCACCACTTGGATGTTCGCACTCCTGTTAGTCCTGGCAAATATGCACGCATTGTTCTCTCATTTGGATCAGGGCTACACCCATTCCCAGATGGATAAAACACATTTATCATGTTTCTGTGCCAGGATTACACAATCGGATGTGGTCTACAATATGAGAATAATAAAAGTATAATCATTTTCAGGCCCTTCATAAGACAAAAATCACTGGACAGATACTTCCTTACTAATTTCATATGCCACTGAATGCAATACTCAAAGGCACTTTTTAAGTTTGGCAGAACACAGCGCTCAAAAAAAATCACATGCCTCTGAAGATCTACCGAACGTGCCAACTCAACTTCCAGTAAAAGTTTATGGGCAAAAAGCGCAATTTATTAGCCTCAAGGCTAACATTTTAAAATGAATGCCTAATTAAATTGGTATTTACGTATCACATGTGAATGCCCAACTGCTTAAAACCAAACAGGACACTGAGACCTAACTTTGACAATTGCATTTCCCCACACATGCGTGTTTTCAAAGTAAAGGGGAAAAACTTCCACCAAGAGCTAACTTCAAATCAATGCATTATATTTATACAATAGGATTAGATAGTTAGTATTTTAATCCAATCAAAGCAGTTTACCATCAGGAAAGCAATGAAGGAATTACCCTAAAAAGCAAACCAGGCCCAACTGTTATCTTGATTTTTACAGATTGTTCTAAATTTAGAAGTATTGTCAAAATATAATAAATGAGTTCTTAAACTTTTTTCTCAATTCACTGCAAATAATACAAGAAAGAAAAACAGATCTTTTGAATAAAATTGAAAAATAGGATTAGCTGGATAGAGTGCCTTGATTGCGCACGTCCTTGCTCATTGTACATAGTAAATCATATTGTCCATGTATTTTAATTTTTCTAAAAAAGTAGATGGTAACATCACTTGTGTTGGTGTCACAGCATTTGTATCTTGCTCTGTTCTTGCCCGGTTTCTCTTAAGAGATAGAATGTCAACCAGCTTCTGCAGTGACAAAACAATATGGTTTCATTTGATTGTCACTGGTGATATTTTTGGCTCCTTTTTCATGGCTGTCACCCACATTCATAAAGAAGCTGCTTCTCCTCATTTGGATATTGGTTTTTAGTGGCAATTTTTCATACTTGACTTGACCAATGTGATTTTCACTGCTGTACACTGAGTTCTAAGGTACGACTAGCTGTATCAGTTCAGAGGACTTCAAATACTATCTCAGATTCGACTGTAGATAGTTCTGTGGAAACAGAAGGTTATTCCACTACCAGGAGCATCCAGACATATTTGTATTGCCAACTTGCTGTCATCTGTAGGGGTCTTTTGGAACTGAAAAAGAAATAGGTATTGGGTTAACACTCCTACCTTCCAACTCCCAGCAGCCAAGTTCTGCAGTGCCCCTGCTGCCCCCTCCAGCGTGTCTGGATTCGAGCACTCAGAAAGAAGTGTGAGGTAGGGTTTGACTATTGAAGGGTGCCACAGCATCTGGATTCCTTTGGGTGGTTCTGCACAGTCTGGGAGAGGTCCTACGCCATCCCACTGTTGGAAAGTACAAATCAGATTGTCAGCAAGGAACAGTGAAATACTTCAGAGCTGCTTCAGCTGAAGCAGTAACATCTATGTGTGCATGCGTGAAGGCATCTGCCTGCAAGCAGCTGTTGTCAATTTTAGCATATCCTGTAATTTTTCACAGAGAACCCAAATTTCTTCCTCAACATTCCTTATAGCACAGCTATAGCATTGGCAGAAATCACAGTGTTTTAGCTAGCTGACACAACACACACACTTTTCACTGCATTTATTTTTTTTTTGGGTGGGAACAGAAGCCCAGTGAATGTGCACATTATCTTAAGAGGCAAATCTAGAACTTGCATGGGAAGAAGAGATTTCCCTTTTTCATGTCCTGCTCAGTTCTCCACGTTCTCTCTCTTCTCATGAGAGAAATACCATGGCCATGAAACACTACTATGGAAAACTAAAGCATTCAAGGCCACAAGCCCTCCATCCCTTGAGACGCCCAAGCACGACAAGTCTTCCTCCACTGCACAACTTCTTCTGGCTTCTCACTGTGTGAGCGCTGGAGGCATTCGGCTGTACAGCCCACCAGCCACACAGTCCGAGACTCCGATGTCATCCATAGAACCTTCTCTCACAAAACAGACTCTTCCTCTCATCACAGACAGAGTTTTGCCACGAAAACAGCCCTACTCCGATATCCAAAATGGGCGATATCAACACCTGGACAACGAGCAGGTTATTGCACAAAACACACTCTTACCAGGAAGAGAAACTTTGTTCTACGAGAACAGCAATTCACCTCTCCAGTGGAACGCACAATACTTGCACCTAAGCATGAAACATCTTAAAGGAAGGAAATGTAAGGATTTTATTTTGCTTTTAAACAAAAGTAAGATGTGGAGTGCACTTCTAATGCAATTTTAAATGTGATTTCTATCTATATATGTAATGTATGTTTTGTTTTGCTTTGTAAAGATAAAGGGATTTAGAAAATTCATAGCCTTAATATCACTGTCAGGAACAAGCCTCGACTTTGTAATACAATCTCTTTTCTAACACCTCTGACACGTCCGGATTGCACGATACGATACAAAGTAAACCTTTTAATGCCTTAGGTTAGAGCTTACCGCAATTATGTAGATAAAAAAGTGCATCCTAACATTAAACATCTACTAGACATACAAAGATAGCACAAGCCAAATTAATTCCTTGCTTAGATCTGTAATAGTTAATTGAAGTAGTTACGAGTCAAACAACACAACAATACTTGCACTGGGTAAGAGCTAGAATATCTCATTTTCAGGAAGCATCAATCATCATTTTATCTAAGTTAACTTTAAAAATCCACTTATAGTTTAAGGGACAATCAATCAAGTCTTATCTAATAACAACTAACATCAGTTTTAGCAAGGTTTTGCTAGACTACTACCATTGAGAATGCAAACCACTATTTATTTCTAAATTAAAGCAGAACAAACACCAAAGTGGAAAGCTAGTGGGACCACTTGACACACATGAGCAGTTACTGAATACTAGAAAGCTGCTCAGATATGAAACGCACTGCACTGGACAAAAGTTACAGAATCACAGAATGTTCGGGCTTGGAAGGGACCTCTGTGGGTCATCTAGTCCAACCCTCCTGCCGAAGCAGGGTCACCTACAGCAGGCTGCACAGGACCTTGTCCAGGCGGGTCTTGAAAATCTCCAGAGAAGGAGACTCCACAACCTCCCTGGGCAGCCTGTTCCAGTGCTCCGTCACCCTCAGAGGGAAGAAGTTCTTCCTCATGTTCAGACGGAACTTCCTGTGCCTCAGTTTGTGCCCATTGCCCCTTGTCCTGTCACTGGGCACCACTGAAAAGAGCTTGGTCCCATCCTCCTGACACCCACCCTTCAGATATTTGTAAGTATATTAGGTCCCCTCGCAGCCTTTTTACCATAGCTTAAAAGCACTGGCACAGCTATATCCAGTGGTGGCTGGAAAACTACAGGAAAATTGTGTTCCAGAGAAACAGTCCCTTGAAAGGACACTATTATGGAGCTGTGCCTTTGAATTTTTTAATACATTTCTGTCTTTAAACTAATAGGTTGATTTCACTGCTCGTGACTCAGTTCTCCTTTTTTCTCCATATAAATCACCATCCTTGCCAGAAATGACTTCTTTTCAGCTCATAAAAAATACATTAAAACCTGCTTCTTATTTTAACTCTCTGAATTTATCACTTGCGCTGTCATAATTTTTTGGGAAACGAAGGAGAAACATATCTTACAGGTTAAATTTGACCTCACACCAGATTTGGGCTTTGTACCTTCGTAAGTCCACTAATGAACGACTTGTGATGTCCAAGGGCACAACTTCAGGTCTTCATCCATCTCATTCCAATTTGCACGAATTATGGACACATTATGCAGCCGAACATTGTTTGAACACGGTACTTACTACATTATTTCAGGGACAAAGTAAATAAAATGTATCAAATGTATCAGACTGATCAAATAAATTTTTTGTGCATGTGTGGGGACATAACTTAGTTTTAAACTCAGGTTTTTACAATCCCAAAGACTGCTGAAAATCACCTGATATAAATAGACCTGCATATTTGTTCATGCTGTGCTGGCACTTACAAAGCACTAGGAATGACACCTGCAGATAAATTAATATTTAACGTGGTTTTGCTGTTCTTCCCAGTAATGAGAAAACATTTTAAAAAAACCGTGAGACAAATTACTGCATTTCCCTGCCCTTCTTGCTGCTCACTTTTAGCACATGATTGTATTAATTTATCACCAACCGTGGGGAAAGCCGCTTTTCTCAAGACACTGTGATGCCTCAGGGTCCTTGTAAAGGTGATGGAAGTCTTTGGTACCACGCCTACATGTGTAGTGAAGGTGCAGTAAATCCAGTGACACTGGATAATGTCCTGCACTATTCTTCAGGCGTGGTGTGTGGGCCCAGAGCATCTGAGTGGCATGCACAGGGAGGCTGTCACTGCCAACCACGCTTAACACATATGCCGTGCCTATGGTAGCCCATTCAAGGTTGTGCGAGAAACGGTGACAGAAAAGACGCTTCTGTAGCCAGCAACCATGACCTATCTATCACGCACTGCCTGCCTCCATGTTTCAGCTCCTCTCTGCTCCTGCATGGGTGATCTCAGGTAACCCTTCACAGAATGGCGTGATGGCTTCCGGCATCTTCCGCGTAGCTGAGACCAGTGCCTGCAGCTGTATTGCCCAGCTGTTGCAGGGCATGCAGGACTGACTCAGGCCAGAAGAGAAGCTGTTGCAAAGGATATTTTCATGATCTTCACCCATTTAGTTTGTATTTCATAAATACAGACATCAATTGCCTCAGCAGAAAAAAATATTTTCCCCCAAACAATACTGCAATCCATTTTCTCCAACGGTGGCTAAGGCATGGCAGAAGTTGCTTTGTAGTTCACATTGCTCAATATTAATGAACCGAGGCAGTGTGCTAAACAACTCTCCCCAGTGAATTACCAGAACAGTTACTGTATTGTTGCAGACCATCAGGAATGATCAGTAAGGTCTATTTGAGATAGGCTGTGGATGTATTAGGAGCCTCTGAAAAAGAGGACAACTGCATGCAATTACTCTTCCTAGCTTATGCTAAGGAGGAAAAAAAAGTCATAAACAAATATTCCTTCCAGCTTCCCTCCTTCAGCTGAAATTACCCACATTTATTGTGGCTGAAGCTGACAAACTGTTTGTTACGTGGGCGAGATACAAATCTCTCATTTCCTGAAACTGGTGCAAAGAAAGGACGAAAGTCAAGAAGAATAAAAAGCCAAATACAAAGATCTTTAACAACAACAGACTTTTGAGAGTAAGAGTATTCTAACAAAGTTTACAAAGTTTTCACACTACTAAGCAACTCTGAGAGGAAAGAAAGATCATTCATCGAGATGCTCCCCCATGGAAAACAACATATCATCTACCACGACATATCATCTACCACCTTCTTTCTGATTTTAATGAAAGCAAATCCATGTTTACAGTGCATCGTACTGAATACCAGGGAAGGCTTTAACTCAGTAAGTGAAATGCGCTCTCCATGTTTTGTTTTTTGTACTAACAACCTCATGTTGGTGGGGTTCGTTGTTAAGGACTATCACATGATGATAGGTTTTCCTGTGATAACAAAAGAACAGTGTTTTATCTTCCTTTATTAAATTTGAGCATTTTCCTCTCCCACAGCCTGTGCAAAATGCGACCACTAGAAAAAGAAAATCTAGGAAAAAAACTCAAACAAAACCCAGCAATGACTAAAGCCATCTTCACCTCTCTCCAATGATCCTAGACATTTAAAACAGTCTGATAATGCTGTAGCTGTGCTCTTTGTGGCAGCAGTGACAAAATTTATATCAGCAATTAAACCGTGCTCACCAAAAGCATTTTTGCAATGCCAAAGACTTATAAACTAACAGGCCCCCTAAGAGGGCAATGATTTCTCACCCTGCACATCTTAGTGGCTGTGGCAGTCTATGCCAGCTGTCCCTAGGCATGTCCAGAGCAGAAATCCGAAGTTAAAAAAGTCATCAAAATGACAGAGCATCTTTTCAGGGGTGATGGAAATCCACATAGCTGATAAAAATGAGGCAGGAAAGCCACTATTTAAATCAAGTCAAATTTCAGATTAGGCCTAAAGAAAGGTGGGGAATATAAATGAAGGTGTCTACTGACACAGAGACTACAGCACTAGGGTGGGAGACGGCAGAGCTGCTGTGGTCCAGCAATGTGCAGTCCCAACAAAACTGTGCAACTTTTTGATACAGTTTATTGCATAAATAACGGTAACCTCCCCAATTTGATGCAACAAGATATTCAATCCTGGGAGAGGTGTTTGGAATGCTTTCAAAACATCCCAATGTTTTGAATCTTTATTCTCAATCTGAGATATGAATAAATCTAAATTCTACTTCAGATTATATACTACAGTCTTAAAATAACTGTCCATGCCTTTCTTCAACTTTTTTATATTATTACACTTAGGTACAAAAAAT